AGAAGGGCAAGTCAGGCGCTCCTGGAGCAAGCGCTGGAGAGGGTGCAAAAGGCGCAGATGCAGCGCGTCGAAAGCGAAAAGCCGATGACAGTACTTCAGAGGAGGATTCGTCAGAAGAGAAAGGCAAGCCAGGCACTCCCGGAGCAAGTGATGGAGAAGGTGTCAAGGGTGCAGACGGAGCGCGTAGGAAGCGGGAAGCCGATGATAGTTCGTCCGAGGAGGACTCGTCATCGTCAGAAGAGAAGGGCAAATCACCGCGTAGAAAGCGGAACGCCTCCGACAGTACTTCAGAGGAGGATTCATCAGCGGAGAAAGGCAAGCCAGGCGCTCCCGGAGCAAGTGGAGGAGAAGGTGCCAAAGGCGCAGACGGAGCGCGCAGAAAGCGGAAAGCCGATGACAGTTCTTCAGAGGAAGACTCATCTGAAGAGAAAGGCAAGCCAGGCGCTCCCGGAGCAAGTGGAGGAGAAGGAGCCAAAGGCGCAGATGGAGCGCGCAGAAAGCGGAAAGCCGATGACAGTTCTTCAGAGGAAGACTCATCTGAAGAGAAAGGCAAGCCAGGCGCTCCCGGAGCAAGTGGTGGAGAAGGAGCCAAAGGCGCAGACGGAGCGCGCAGAAAGCGGAAAGCCGATGACAGTTCTTCAGAGGAGGATTCGTCAGAAGAGAAGGGCAAAAAAGGCTCTGACGGAGGCGAAGGTGATAGCAAAGCAGCGAAGGGATCAGATGGTGCACGTCGAAAACGAAAAGTCGAAAAGAATACGATTTCTGTGGAGAGTAAAGAATATTCCAATGGTGACGTGGTAATCGATTCGGAGTCTACCGAAAATAGCGAAGACAATGAAGTAATTGAATCGAAAAAAGATTCATCTTTAGAAGATTACGTGCAGGGGTGTGAGGTTATGGATGCGGATTCGGATGAAGCAAACGAGACAACTTACTTTGAAGACAGGCGCAAACGTTCGGTGGAAAGTGATGAGAGTGCTGAATTATCAAATGCTGCTGTGGTTAATTCTGAGCAAAGCAAGGAGGATAATACACGCGAATCAACCGATGAACTATTTGAAGATGCTAACGAATCATCTGAGGCAACCGAACCTCTAACCCAGCTGAAACGACGACGTGACACCACCAGCTCTAGCAAGGAAAGTGATGAGAAACATGACAAAGATGGTGAGAAGTCCGTAAATTGTGGTTGTGGCAAATCCAAACGGGCCGCCGATGAGTCAAACGAATCGAAAAGTAACGAAGACAGCAAACAAAACGAGAAGAAGTCGGCCGCTTGTGGCTGCGGTGGTGCAGAGGGGGCAAATGGTGAAGAAGCAGAGAAGCCCTGAGGGCTAGCCAGCATCTGAAAAGATGACGATGGGAGCCGCAGTTCGCCAGACGCACGCGCGGATGATTTACTGCGCTTTAATAAAAACATAATTTGATGCTGTATTTTTTAAGTTCCGTGTAGTTTTTTTGTAAATTAATAAATTATGTATGTACATGTATGCCTTAACTGATTTTTGTTGTATGCAAAATACAACAACAGAGATAAGTCGCACTTTGTTTATATTAACCTCTGTATTGCAAGCCAGAAAATTTTGTTTCGCTGCGCGTCAAGAATCTTATCAGTATTGCCGGCGTTGGTCGCCATAACTCTGCGCGCCTCCGCAATACCTCGGGTGTTACAATCATACTTGCACACACACAAACACATGCACAAAAGAGTTATCTCCTCACGCTCGTGTTGCCATTCAAACGTCGCTGCTCCTTTTGTTGTTTAATCTCAAAGTTATGGTTTTTGCTGTTGCTGCTATTTTGAGCGTTTCGTCTCAGCGTAAGCGCACTTGTCACGCCAGCTGATAAGCATTAAATATTTAACCCAAGTGACACTGCGATGTGCCTTTGAGGAGCACGGCTTCTTCCTCGGGCAATAAATAATCATAAACAAAATCTAACTAACTAATAACTTGGTGGCATTTGCGATACGAGTTTGTTTATCGTTCATTATTTAGTTCGTAATTAAATATGTTTTTCGTGACTCAAAATGTTTTGCCTATATTGGCTGGCATTTGATTTGGTACGCGAAATTGAGCTTGCGACAAATGGCTGACACTGAATGGAGGATAGCAAATGTGTGCCGGGTGCAATGGTTTTGTGTGAATTTGAATAGGACGTTGGCATAGGAAATATTCGAATTAAATTGCGTTCTCATTTATAAATACCGCTCAAGCTCTGTTTTGAGTGTTGGTCTGGACTGATTGGCCAGCATTGAATGGATTATTCTCGAATAAAAATTTTAAGTAAATTAGTTTGGTTGGATCTGACAGGTTAAAGACTGAACTCAACGAAAAGGCACGTAAAAGGGGGTTCGAATTTTAACTATTTAAATTGGTCATTTCAGTGTAAAAACACAACTTATATAAATTTTGCAAATTATTTTTACAGGGTGCCCATTTAAAACGATAGCACCTCAACATTTTTAACAGTTTTCCCTATTTTTAACCGACTTCCAAAAAAGGATGAGGTTATCAGTTCGTCCGAATATTTATATATATATATATTTTTCCCAATTCCAAGCATTTTAATTGTAATTTGTAGAATAACTTTTGGTAAGCTCGTTTAATGTAATAAGATTAAATTCTAGTAAGATAAAGTGCAAGTTTGAAGTTCCTAAAAAGTCGCGTTGATTTTTGATAATGTTTTTTTTGCTGAAGGTATCACGCATTTTCTTCCATACAAAGTAATTTTTTATATGGAAAAGAGTGCATAACGGCGCCAGAAAAAAAAATCTCAAAAATCAATGAGATTTTTAGCAACTTCAAACTGTTACTTTATTATAAGATATTTTAATAAGTCATACAACTGCATAAAATTAATTAAAAAATTCTAATTAAAATATTAAGAATTGGTATGAAATATTTAAGCAATTTTTTAAACTTTTGTACAAAGTTTGAGATATTTGGATTTATATGGTTTTTGGGAGATAAAGAGCTGAACTTTAATAAAATTTTAATGAACCTGTTCGTTTTTTTGTTCTTTATGGCCTTATAACAGTTATATTCAACAATTTTATTGAGCTTGAGTCCGCTGAACCTTAAAAAAAGTAAAAGAAAAGATTTCAAAAGTGGTAAAAATGTTGTAGGTATATATCATTTATCTTTTATGTAAAGACGAAAGATGTTCCACTTTGCCAATGTTCACTTGAATCAAATTTTTAAAACAGCTGACACCCTACTCGAATCAATTTTCATAATGATGCTTTTTTCATCCTGTTTTTGTTTGGCATTCATATTGTTAAATTTAATTAAAGTAGCTGATTAAGTTTAATTAAAATTTTAAACTGGTGCCAACTACTTTTTAATAAATTTTAATTTGACTTTTATAATTTATTTTAAAATTTCGAAGAACTTGCAGTTTAAAGTAGAATGTAACATCTTAAGCAGTATGCTATATATTAATCCAGGTCATAAGATATCAGTATGCCAAAGTTTATATAAAGGAAGACCAGCGAATATGCTCCTTCTCCACACTTGCTAATTTATGATATTATTAGTATGCATTTCATTTAACTTGAAAATTAAAGTCATAAACTGCTGTCAACCCTCGTCAAATATACCTTCCAAATAATACAGCTTTTGTAAAACGTCGCCCGTTTGATACCCACATTAATATATTTCCTTTAATTTGTTAATTATATTAATTTGACTTTTTTGAACAGGTTGGAACCTACTTAAAAAATTGTTTCGAAATTAATCGTTTTCAACCCCCTTTTGTTTGACATCTGCACTGTTTATTATTTTATTTACTCTACTTCTTAATTGATTTTAACTGTTGAAAAGGGTGGCAATTCTCTTTAAAAATATCCCATATCTAAACTCGAGCCATAGCCTATCTGTGTGCCAAATTTTACTCAAATCCGTCCAGCCATTTTACCGTGGAAGGGCAACCAACATGTTCACACACTCACCCACTTTCACTTTTATAAAATTAGTAGCATTTATGAGTCATTTTTTATGAACAGACCACTGAATAAGATAACAATGTATAAACATCAACAAAACTGCTTGCATTGTCTCAATAGGAGCGTATGATAAGGCGTAGCATTAATTTTAATGGTATACCTGATCTGCCTTTCTGAAGCCATAAGCCTTTGTAGATATATGCATTTGCTGAGATATAAAAAAGCTGAACTTTCCAGCATCTTATAATCCACTCTGATTCATTTGCTACGTTAAGGCTATTTAGTAGCTTATAAAATGTTTATAAAAATATTTATAAATAACTTTATGGAGTGTGAATAAATTTCATTTCGGATAGCAGAGCTTGTTTATTTTTTGAAAAAACTACGTGCCAGTCAGTGGCGGATCCACGGGGGTATACATCAAATTTTACTTACGTCCATTTCTCTGGCTTATAGGAGCGGCTGAAAGGCATTTTTACTATTTTTTAATCATAGAATAATTAGTGTACTATGTTTTCTGAATTTCCACAAATAGGATGCCATTGAATGCAGCTGATTTATAGCGTTTAAAGCAGCACAAAGCTTCTTCAATGCTGCCATAAGAAATATTGCTAAGGTGGAGTACCCCGGCTGGGACAATAATCTGTTGGTTATTCGCTAACTTTATGTTGGAACATTCAGGAAAGAGCATCTGCATTAGGTGTTCAAAGCTGCTGCCTGTTCTTTCGCCATTCCCTAGGTAGCTAGACACACATGGATTCTATAATTAGAAATACAAGTAAATACGACCAACTTAATGTTTTATGTTGTCCTACTTATTCGATTTTTGCCCGCTGTTAATTGATTAAATGCATTACCAAATTGCACATTTTATTACGAAAATGATTATAGTTTATTTTTAACTTCCTGGAACCAGTTATGATTTATTTATTTGTTTGGGTTATAATTCAAACTTATATCAGCACAAATATTTAAGTGAGTTACTCGCGAAAGCATAACATATGTACGTACATATGTATGTATTTAAGCAATCAACATAAGTAAATAATATCGATAAGATCAGTGCATGAAAATGGTCGTCTTCAATGTGCGAAAAATTCTCTGTTGTGAAGTGTAAAATGAATTGCGGCGTTCATTCACCGCATTCTGCTTAAAATTGTACGCAGTCGAGTACTTGGAATCTAACAAAAATAAATAGCTATGCACAGCACTCACACACACGCACAATCCCACACACACACACACACACATTTCCAACTGCCAGTGGCTGCAGTTTCAACTGTGGGCATTCGCAAGTAAACAAACTATGGACCTATCCCAAAAGTCAAAGCATTGGCCCTTGCCTTGCGTGTTTTGCTGAGCAACAAATGGCCAAGTGGAAATAGAAGAATAATAAATAAATAGCTCGAAGCTATGTATGTAGCATAATAATGGAGCAGAGAAATTGCGTTTGAAATAAAAAAAACGCATAAAATTTGCAAAATCTCATCGGTTCTTTATTTGA